GCATTTTTATTTAATATCTGTAAACCGACTCAACCAAATATTTTAAATTTTAACAAATTATCAAATTATTCAAAAGTACTTAATCTATGAGCTATTCTGTAACTTGCCCTTTTTTACTTTATTTTGTAATCCATCTCGCTCATACAATTTGCTACCTATGCACTTACTAACTTTTTTTTTGATCTAAACTATTCTTAACTCTTTGATCTAAAACTATTCTTAACTCTATTCTATCTTATTACTATTCTTAACTCTATTCTATCTGGGCGTGCATTAATTGTAAAAAGGCAAAAAAAAGAACAAACAGTCTATAAACAATTTATCTTTTATATAATAAATCTCGTAAAAAGAACAAACAACCTGTGTAAAAACAATTCTGCCAAAAAGTATCATACAGTCATTATAAGACATTTGCAAACCGAATCGAGCATTGAATTAAAAAAAATAATAATAACAATTATTAATTAATCTAACTATTTGACCTATGTGTTGTACGGTAATTCGCCATTTTTATTTTTTCTTACCGCTTTACTTTCACTTTTGCAACCTATCTCTTTCATAAATCCTAGCGACTTGTGCATTATTCGATTCCGCTTATTAGGCTTTTTGCATTTCTTATACCTCCCGCGGTATTTCTACTTCCGCTAATAGCGGCGTATTTGCGACAGGCGTGCCCGAAAATTCTGAGAGTCGGTTCTGGCACCCTGCGTGTAATTAAATAATTCAGGACAGAATCTTTGATAGTGTCCATTTCATTACAATTATGGCAGACAATTCGACCCGTCATCGTCCTACCGTTTCGAAATTGTCCCCCGTTCGGTCTATCGCGACTTGTTCTGAAATGCGTAGGGTCTACGAATCTGTGCGAGCTTTGGTTGACTTGTAACGATGTAATCGTATCCGGTAAAGGTTCTATGGTATGGCGCAAAGCGCCTAATTCTTGCTCGCCCTTAACTAAATCATACACGCACTTATATGTATCGGCCCGCAATAGCGATGATGTGAATAGCTGTAACGACTCGTGTGAAAACTGCGCGGCTTGTATAATTAAAGGTGCGCCACACCTAACGAACGAACATGTCGAACAAGAAAATACAAGGAAGAACGAATAGGAACACGAAAGAGCGCGAATAATTCCAAACTCCTCAAAGCAGAGAGGGCTTGAATCTTTTTGTTCGAGGATGTACCGTGAAACGTCAGATTCATTATTTAAAGTGGCGGAAAAAAGCAAAATTATTTAAAGTCATCAAATTTACAAAATTTGTCAATAACAGCAATATCTTATAATAAACACAACATAAACTAATGCAGGACTGCACATTTTAACATCAAAAAAGAAAAATGTTTGTCTACATTCGTGGTAGCGTCCACACTGCACATACGAGTTCAAACATGAACGAACAATTCCCTTTGATGTACCGACAAATTGCGGAACATTGCTCGCCATGTTTGTTTATGTTCGTTCGTGATCGTTGTGGCGTCCACACTATGCTGTTGCCGTTCGTTCTGGTACGTTCATTTATGTTCGTTCGTTAGGAGTGGACGCACCTTAACGATCGCGGACGTAATAACCCTCTAGTTATATACCTTATTATGCTCATTTCGCTCATGTTATGATCTACTCTATCGCACAAATCAGTCATTTCCAGGATATAGCTTTGCAAATCTTCCCCGTCCTGCCTAACCCGTGATTCTAATAACAATTGCGTCCTTTTCCATACCCCGGAAATGCTAGTTCGAGATCTAATTTACATGACTCCCAATCGCGTAATGCATTTTTTCTCAATTGCTTCACATACCACGTGCGCGGCGCGCCCTCAAGGTGTTGTAATAAAAAGTCAACTCTATCCCTATCTGACCATTTATTTATTTTCGCCGCGTGTTCGTATTCTATTAAAAATTCTGAGACTGCTCCCTTACCCTCAAACTTTCCGCAATGAAAGACCGGGTATCTAGCAACCCCGACGTGACTCAAAGCATTATTCGCGCCCGCGGAAATTTCGATTCCCGTGTCGCTCGTTCCTACATCGGCTCGCGGTTGGTTCCCGTCGCTGTTCGAATCTTCGTCGCTATTGCGTGCAGCTTGACGAGTTACAATACGATTGTTCATGTTGCTGGTAGATGGCATGCTTCTTATAAACTAACTAACTCTATTTGCTTTCTTACACTTTATACCTTGAAAATAAAATAAACCGAGAGCAACCCCCAAAATCAAAAAAATACTAAGTCGCCGTCCACACTAACAATCATATTATTCAAGAAGTGCTTATCATCTAAAATTCAATATTTTCTGTTAAAATATATTTAATACATTTTATGAAATAATCATTGAGATATACAGACCGCTAATAGCCAAAACCTTCGCTTTGCTACTGCCTGCCTTAACTTTATTGCCTTTTTCTACTTTAATTTTATAATTGCATTCACATATCTATCTGTAGAGCAAATACCCCTCAAAGAAAATATATCCGTACAACGGGGATTTGATTCCAACCACAACACCAACGCAAACATTTTTGTTCTAGGCATTTTTATACAAATTGAAATAGCACAATTTAAACCAAAACGAAACACAACAAGTAAACCGCGCAAATTATCAAATCACTCTACCGACGCCGACGCCATTTTGCTATTCTCGGGATTTTAGTGTGTCACAAAAACCAGATGTTGATAACAGGTTGACTGCCGACCGTAGTGTTGTGCCATTAGTGTGGAAATTTATAAATATACATATGATTCAGAATATGAGTAACACTTGGTTATATTTATAACGAAGTTTATTCACAGAAAAATATAGAATTGAATTTAGAAAATAACTTTTGTATACGAAGTGTAAGTTACGGTGGTTCAAAGTAGAGAGAGTTTTGCCGGTTTCTCCTTTCCAAACCCGGCGTCCTGGGTTGCCAGAGCAATCATGTTTGTTCTTCCGAAGCCTCGCGTACTGGGTTACCTGAGCAATGATATTTGTCCTTTCGAACTTCACGGCCATAGATAAACAAGTATAATAGATCGCTATGTCTGGCGGTTTGACGTTACCTCGATTGAAATACAAATTTTTAAAAATAGATGGCAGCACATGTATAATATTTAAATTACCCCTGGTTTTACTTCTTAATTTGTACGTATCGTATACAGCCCCAAAAACCTGAATAATTTTTAATATTGGAAATAAGAACAAATCATACGAAATACAAAATATATATTTTCAAAGATATTACATATGTTTAAAGAACAATTAAAATTATGTTTATATTAACAATTATAATTACAGTTATGGAATGTTTGAAAATATAATAATTATTATACATAATTATAAAATACAAAATTATCACAATTATGCTTAAATAATATTTCAAAAACTAAATATCTAAGTGAAGAAAATCACAGAAGTATTTAACTAAACTAAGCACAAATAACTGACTAATATTAATTACTTAATGACTAATATTAATATATTAAAATCTTAAAAACTAAGAAGAAACTACAAGCACAGGAGCACGCAATGAAATTACAAATTTAGAAGGAATGACAAATAATACAAAAATTTAAAGGGTTAAGAAAAAAACAAATAATTTGTTAAAAAGTACAAATACTTCACAAACAAAAAATCCTAAAAACATAAAATATATATATTGATATCAAATTGAGAGAAATTCAAATTCCTAGGATTAAAACTCATTTACTAGACATTGTTCTTTATTAATTCTGCATGTAATAGTTATTTCGCTATCTAATGAATTAATAGTAAAGTTGCATTCAACAAAACCTTTGAATAGTTTTTGTACGAGTGTTTTATAACATTACATTTAGCCATGTTCCATCATGAAAACATTATCATTGAAATTGCCATAAAAGATCAACAAAGTGTTTACAATGAACAGTTGCAACAGTTGCAATATTTTTGATTCCCAAGGTCGGTAACAAATATATCTTGAATTTAATAAACATTATATTGGGATGTTACACAAGTTTTATTTGAAGAATATTATAACACTAATCTTCAATCGAAATACATTAAAATATTATGTATGGTATAGACCAGAGGTGGGGAACCTTTTCGTCATTGGAGGCCACACTTAAATTAGGCAGCAATAAAAGAGGCCGCATAAGCTTATTGACCTAAAAAGTGACTTTTGTGAAACTATTATAGTTTTTTTTATAGTTTTAACAATATATTGCATTATATAGAAAAAGTAAATAAAATACTTCAAAATTTTAAATATAATATAATATGTAATAATAATAATATAAAATGATATAACAATATTACAAAAAACAATAATTTTTTTTTTAAACACTAAGTTAGTGACTTATTTGGCTTTGTTTTTGCTTGATAGTAATTTTATATTTGGATCAATCTTTGAAACACACAGCTTTAGTTGATCCTCTAAATGTGTATCTGTGATTTGCGTTCGCAAATTCGTTTTTATTTTTGACAAGAGGGAAAATGTTGCCTCACAACAATAGGTACTTCCGAAGCAGGAAAGTAACCGGCGAGCGTGTTCTCGAAGGCGTGGATATTCAACAGCATTTTTCCAAATTTCTATGGGATCCTTTTTGGAGTTAAAAGAGATTTGATGATACTATCTTCCCCTAAATCAATTAACTCCATTTGCATTTCTGGAGGCGCATCGGATATCTCTATTAAATGTGGTTCAAATGCAAGTTTCATAGCAGGAGTGTGCTCGTCAAAATCAGAAAATCTCTGAGTATACTCTTCTATTAAACAATCCAAGACACCTACGTATTCATCGAATTCTTTATTTTCACAGTTTTGCTCATTTAACACTTTAGTTAGCTCCGGGAAAAATTGTTCTGATATTTCCGATCGACAAAGCAATGCTTTGAAAAATAATAATTTTTTTCTAAACGCTTGGATCTTTTGCCACATTTCATAAATATATCTTGTTTCACCTTGCAGGCAAATATTTAAATTATTTTGCTTTGTCATCATATCAGCCAAAAATGCAAGGTTTCTCAGAAATACTTCATCTGATAGATCACATAGCTTTCCTTGTTCTTGAAAAAAGTTTAATATTTGTCGTCGTAAAGACAAAACTTTTATCAAAACATGACCTAGGAACACTATACGTTTCCTCATCTAACAAGAGCATTTGACGAAATTCACGATGACGCATTGCGTTTACGCAAATATAATTGACAATTGCAATGGTTTTATCCAGAGTGTCTTGCAAAATAGTTGATTTCGCGCAAAGATTTTGCTGGTGCAAAATGCAGTGGAATGATATCAATTTTTTTAAGTTTAAGTTTTCTTTTTTCAATAATGCAATGAATCCTTCTTTTTTGCCTCTCATGGAAGGTGCTACATCGGTGCAGACACTGACTAAATTACTGACATTCAATTGTAATTTATCACATACTTCTTTAAAATTTTCAAAAATATCGGCTCCGCGAGTTCTTCCAGTTAGTGTACCCAACGCAAGTAGTTCTTCGTAACATTGAAAATCTTTAGTTACGGCACGAATAAAATATAATACTTGCGCTGAATCTGTTTTATCAGTGCTTTCATCTAACGCAATTGAAAAATAAACACCTTCATTTCGTATAATTGTATGAAGCTGCTCTGTTATATTTTGCGCTAATTCGTGCTGTCGATCTGTTATAGTTCTTCTCGAAAGAGGTAATTGTTTATATTTGTCGACATTTCTTGGATCTAACATACTCACTGCTTCAACAATACATTCTTTAATCATTTCAATGTCACTAAATGGTTTGCCCCGTTTTCCAATATATGTGCTATTTTATAGGAAACAGCAACTGCAGCGGAATTTTGATTGACAAAGGCACTAAAAGATGCCTGCTGATGATGCTTCTCATTTTTCAACTTTCGAAGTGCAGTTTTTCGCGATTCACCTTCTAAAGCGAAATATTTATGCTCTTTATGAGTCAAATAATGTTTATTTGCATTCGCTTTTTTTAAAGTATTTAACACTGTATTGCACAACAAACACACCATTTTATCTTTCTCAGGACTAAAAAAAAATCTAACTCCCATTCTACATTAATGTTCTATTTTCATCACATAACTTTCTTCTCTTACAATTTGACATGATGGATAAATAAAAAAACGAATATCAAATAATTTTTTTAACAAAGTCTAGAAATTCAATAAAGCCGTGTAACTGTTACAAGATTGCACTGTTAACTACAGTTTGCTGAAGATTGCAACTGGGTAGCTTTACAAAATGCAAGCCAAATGTTGATGCGACCAATAAATATCGATGTAAACATATTGTCTCCGAACATGTGATTTGGGCCTATTTAACATGTGGCTGCCTCCCTCATGCGTCTTATGGTTCCCATCCACTAAGCAACCAGGCAACTGAGCAATTTATGACAAAATGACCAATAAATATTGAGATGTAAAATTTCTGAGTGTCGAAGGAAATCGAACGAAATTTCATTAATTTTTCTTGAAGATTGTAAAAAATGTTGGTATGTTTCGAACGTATGTAATGAGATAAAATCGACTTTGTTTCGATAAAATCGAATTTTAGTTTGTTTTAATTTCATTTACATTCATTTTTTATATAAAAATGATATTAAAGTCTTTTGATTTTCATATTCTTATTGTTACATAATTATTTGAAATAAAAAATTATAAATTTTTCTTATACCATTGAATTCACTGAGGTTTTTATTTTCCAAACTAAGGTGTTAACGGTTAATTCAGGGAAATTTGGGCTTCGGAAAAACCAGATTAAATTCATTTGTGAACTCTTGGTATGAATATTCCTGCTTGCTCTCATTCATGACAATAGTTATCATAACAAAAAAAGAATTAATGCATTAAACGCAACGTTACCTCTTTCCAAAAGAATTATACCTAGACACTATTGACAGACACTTAAGAATATAATTTAAAAAATAATATTAATAAATGATGTACCTACTCCATTTAGAGAATAATAATGTTTACCAATGAAAATTAAGCGTATTATTTTATAATGTATAAACTTTGATAATGTATATATATATAATGTACGTGGAAGAAATATTTTAATTAAAATATGCATTTATTATGCATAAAATGTATTGTTCATTTATATTTTGCATTTGAGTTGTTCTTATTTCAAATACCTTACTCTATATTTATATTTCAAGATTTAAATATAAATAATTTCTATATATTATGTGCAAATAAATACGGACACATATTTTGCCTACAGCTATTTTAAAATATTTTTTTATTTTATGAAAAAGGTATAGTTTTGTGTCATTTTATAACTATGGTCTCATAAAATTGCCAATATATCTTGGTAACATCTGGTTGCAACCGATCTCCGGCAAAACTGCGAGGAGTATAAATTTTTATCATTTTACTACAGATGCTAACGATTCTTTTGCACTGTTAATTTTTTTATAATACTTCTTGAATCATATAATAGGCGATGTCTTGCAAAATCGAAAATATTGCTTATATTAAATAATTAATATAATATATTATATCTCTATTTTGTATATGCCTAAAAGTCTGTGTTTCAGGCTAGTAATCTGATGTCACGTTACATGAGATTTTTGTACAATAGTTGTTTGAAAGTAACTCTGATATTTTGTACTAGACGGCAAGGGGCCGCACAAGATCCTCCCGGAGGCCGCATGCGGCCTCGAGCCGCAGTTCCCCACCTATGGTATAGACTCTCTTTATAAGTGTTTCATTTGCTAATGTAATAGATAATCTTATTAAATATAACAAGGATTTACGTTGATGAACATTTAAACCAATACTAGTTTACTTTATAAGTGTTTGCATTTGCTAATGTAATAGATAATCTTATTAAATATAACAATGAACTTACGTTGATGAACATTTAACCATACTAGCTGAATAACTGTTTTGCAACTCAACAATATGAGATTCAATCCAATCATATAACAACCGAAGATAATGGTATTTCATCAAACATCAAAAACACAGTATCTGCTACTAATACTTTTTAAAAGAAATAGCTGAACCTAATGTTTTAAATAGACACTCATAAATACCGCTATACACTTGTATCTCTAAATGCAACTTTCTCAATGTTTGAGGACATGGCAAAATAATATTTGTCTCCAAAAATAGTAGACCTTTGGAGACTTTTTGTACGACTTATCCTTAAATTATTGCATTGTTTATGAATCCTCCTTGTCATTACATATTGCATTCCTTGGTTGTCAAAAGTACTCCTGCGCTTTGTTCGTGCATTTTGCAGCAATTTGCAGGTACCCCCAAGACACCTATTCAATATACAAAACATGTTGACATATCTTGATATATATAATTATTGCTGCAATTATTATTAAAAATACCTTTGCGGAAACTTGTATTGGAATAGCAAATATTTTAACCCGCACTTGACACTTTTTTGGGCACTATAAAAACACTTTGCCATATTAAATTTCACAAATTTCACTTAACAAAATTAATTAATTAGAAACAACACGAGTTCAAAAAGTTAGGTTATTCGTACAGCCATACAGACAGCGATCAAATACTTGACAGCCACTTTATGACCACGAACAATTTGTAGTTGAAATTGGAGTGCACATGAGCCATCTGTTTTTAAAAATTGAAACTACTCAGGACCAAAACAGTGCAACGCGCATTTGTTCGAAGATAACTCCCCATGTTCACGGCGGTGTATATAAGTGACAGATGGCACAACATTATCCCTTAACTAGGGTTCAGTACTATAATCATAAATCAAATCACAAATTATCAAAATTCACATTTGCAACCCAGAAAAATAGAAATAGAAATAAAAATATAACTCAGTGTCAAAATATAAAAACTTAAATTAGAAAAATTACATCTAGATAATTGAACTTAATCTAAACGTTATTTCATTAACAATGGTAAAAAATATAAATATTAACACAATTAATTATTACATGAGTTTTAATCCTATTAATATGAACCTTTAGTGATTTAGATCCACACAACAAAGTATAATTAACAGGCGATGAGAGAAATTATTTTTGTTTATAAACAACTGAAATTTCTTTATATAATATAAAATGGGAACCAATATAATATTTATTAAATTCAGTGTGAGTTAAGAGGGTAATCATAGGTTTCATGGATATTGGACACAAAGTTATATAAACATAGAATATTAACTTTATAGGAAAAGTGAAATTATTATTTCAATTAATTTCTTTAAAAGAATTTATGTTGTTATATTTATACTAAAATAGAATAATAAAAATTTGAAGAATTTCGTATATTGAAATAATAATTTTAATTGCCCTGCCGTGGATAATCTCTTCGATAAAAATTCAGTCGATAACTGAAACTCGATAAAATAAAAATTGTTATGATCAATTTATCAAATTCCGAAAATAACAATTGGGCTTTAAAATTTAATAAAATATCATATTGATAATGAAAATTAATTTTATGATGTGGAAGTTATGGGATATAAGGTTCATCGAAGGGTTCTCGATACAAACTTTTAAGGAATTGGTTCTCGAAACAAAAGTTTGAAAAAATGGAAGGATTTAAATAAACGAATAGAATTTCTAAAAAATCAAAGAGAATTAAATATAGCTTTAAAAATTTAAAATTAAAATTTTGATGAATAATTATCTAGAAATTTTTATCAAATTCCGAAAATAACAATTGGGCTTTAAAATTTAATAAATATCATATTGATAATGAAAATTTAATTTATGATGTGAATTTATTTATGGATATATAGGTTCATCGAAGGTTCTCGATACAAACTTTTAAGGAATTGGTTCTCGAAACAAAAGTTTGAAAAAATGGAAGGATTTAAATAAACGAATAGAATTCTAAAAAAATCAAAGAGAATTAAATATAGCTTTAAAAATTTTAAAATTAAAATTTTGATGAATAATTATCTAGAAATTTATTGATGGACAAAATGGGATGTTGATGAACTTCAATTTAGTAGAGAATTTCTAAAGAAACTCCTATTTGTATGAAACAACTCTTCCAATTGTGAGTATATATTGAGCAAAAGTTTATAGATGAAGAAAATGTTAGTTTTAAATTAGCCAATAGTAATAATCTTTTCAATACACTACAGTTAACTAATTTGAAATATTCAATAGGCAACACATTATGAAACGCGAAAGATGTAATAGTATTCTCTTTGTATTTGAATAATATTTCTAACTGGAAAACTACAAACACACAAAAAATACAAAACAACAATACCAATAGTACATGTTTTCGTTTTAATGGTAATAAGTAAAACAAGGTATTTTATTCTTATAATTTTAGTTTTATTTTTTTCTATTTACTGCTTTATTTAACGTCGCACAAGATTTATTTTTGCTTAAACAATATACTGCACATTCTGTAACAGTTATTAGTAACGAAACTACTTGTCTGATGTTTTGTGATTCGATATACATTTTAATGTTTGTTTTAGATTCAAATTTAATCGTACTATGGTTTTTATGTAATTATTTGTATCATGTAAACTCTATTCGAATATTTTATTATTTTTATCTTAAGGATTTACAATACCACTTTCACATACACGCGCATCACTTTTCTTTCAATTTTATGTGCTTTCGCTTTTGCCTCAGATATTTTATAAGATATTTCATATTTTTTGTAGACAAATTACATATATCAAGTTATGCTTATTGAACCAAAAAGCTTCGGAGTTTCAATGAAAACGTGTTATTTTCAAATTTTTATTGAACATTTTGAGCACACAGTTTGTCGCCTTCCTTA